ACTGTGGCCGATTAACCTCGGGGATGGCAGAAGCCTAGCAGATGTTCCATCTAACTGCCCCTCTGTCTCTCCCTCTCAGGCCCACAGAGACGAGATTCAGCGCAAGTTCGATGCTCTGAGAGAGAGCTGCTCAGTGAGTGTCCTTTGGCCTTTGCGTTCGGCCGTCGTGTTAAAAAAGGCACCTGTGGCTCACCAAGACGCCGCTTTCCGTATCAGGTGATCACTGAGCTGGAGGAGCAGCTGACCCAGCTGACCCAGGAGAACGCCGAGCTGAACCGGCAGAACTTCTACCTTTCCAAGCAGCTGGACGAGGTGTCGGACGAGAGGGAGGACCGGATGCAGCTGAGTCAGGATGTGGACCGGCTGCGCAGGGAGGTGGCCGACCGGGAGATGCACCTCAACAACCAGAAACAGGTACATCATCTCTCAGCAACCAGAGACGGACACACATCCCACTCCAGTGACCCGAAAGGCACATTCCATCACACCTCCATTTATAAAACATGCACATGTCTGTCATTGCTACCATGATTTGAAAGTTTTCATGAAGAGCTTCAGTTTATCAGCTAGGAACCCAGCCACTGTCTTACCTTGTGAAAACTTCACCAGCTCATGGAGAAAGATTGTGTGGCTGCTTTCCTCAGAACATGGAGACTCTGAAGACCACGTGCACCATGCTGGAGGAGCAGGTCCTGGAGCTGGAGACGCTGAACGACGAGCTGCTGGAGAAGGAGCGGCAGTGGGAGATGTGGCGTGGAGCGCTGGAGGACGAGAAGAGCCAGGCGGAGAGGAGAGCCCGGGATATGCAGCGGCTGCTGGACAATGAGAAGCAGAACAGGTAGCTTCCATATGCACGGCCCCATACACACGCACTCATACGCTGGGCCTTGGCTAACTGCCCTGCCTTCCTGAGTCAGGTTGCGTGCAGACCAGCGCAGTTCAGAGTCTCGCCAGGCGGTGGAGCTGGCGGTCAGGGAACACAAGGCAGAGATTATAGCCTTGCAGCAGGCCCTGAAGGAGCAGAAGCTGAAGGCGGAGAGCCTGTCTGACACAGTGAGTCCTCCACATTTCTCCCTCTCCTTTGGAAAGAGCAGCCAACTCATGAGGTTATGGTGCCTGCCCTTCCCTGCCACAAGGGGGCACTGACAGCAATGTATCGCCACCTCTCTTCAGCTGAACGACCTAGAGAAGAAGCATGCCATGCTGGAGATGAATGCACGCAGTCTGCAGCAGAAGCTGGAGACAGAGCGGGAGCTGAAGCAGAAGCTCATGGATGAGGTGAGAAGGATCCAGCATCCCATTGTCTTGCACGCAAATGCATACACACATGCTTGGTTGACTTTTCGGGGTTTCTGGGATTGTTAGAAAAATGTATAGAGAATAATATTTAATGCAATAATCAGATGCATCCCAGCTTGAGAATAACATCACGCAATCGTGCTACATCATTAGTGAGTATTTGTAGGCGATATAACAACCAGATAAAGGTGACCTATGCGTTCTGTCACCAACACGATGCCCCCCAGCAAAGCAAGCTGCAGCAGCAGATGGACCTGCAGAAGACGCACATCTTCCGCCTGACTCAAGGTCTCCAGGACGCCCTGGACCAGACCGACCTGCTGAAGACAGAGCGCACGGACCTGGAGTACCAGCTGGAGAACATCCAGGTGTGCCTTCACACTGCCGTGACACACCACGCTCACACTTACTCACACGCATACCTGTTTGCAAATGCACACTCAGATAGATGCCGTTGCCTTTATCCAACAATGGTGTCCCTTTCAGATCAGCAGCAGGTAACAGTGGATAAATTACTCTGCTTTCAATGGTGAATTGGGCCCTTTCAGCATAACAGCAGCCCTCCACACATACAGGGGTCCTTACTGTCAGCGGACTGGACGACAAAAGAGTTCTCTCACTGGTACAACAACACAGGGATACATTTTTTTTTTTGTATGTTTTGCTTCGACGTGTTGCCGACATTCAGGTTAAGAATGATTGCCCACAGTATGAAATGCTGATGTTCTTGATCTTTTGATCATTTTCTCTGGTCATTTTTTGATCATAACTGAGAAGTTTTCCCCCTTCACAGTAACATAACATTTCTGGCTGTGTCACTCAGGCCCGATCAGTTTAAATTAGGACTGGGTGACTGGCCAGCAGCGACTGAAGGCCCCTGTCGGGAGAAATAATGAGCTTCGGGTGCTGGGAAATCAGCCGGCGTCTTTATGTGTCCTGTCAGTCACACCTGTGGTGGTGGGGGGGGGGGGGGGGGGGGGGGGGGGGGGGGGGGGGGGGTGAGCATGTGAATTGGAGGAGAACAGATTGGAGATTGGGGGTTAAACAACCCCCACCCCTTCATAAAACTTTTCCTGACAAAATGCTGAGAAGCTGCATGTTATTACAGATTAATATAGTCTGTTAACAAGATGTCGCACCAGTTCAAAAAGATGCATGGAGCCCATCATTAAAAATGTGCTTACTGGCGTTACTAATCTCCACAGCGAGGAGAAAGCCTGTCAAATTCAGGAAGCCATCGCTGCTCCGAAGGCTCTCATCAGACGAGCTGTTTTGACACTACAATCGGAAGACGCACAGTGTGTTTGAATTAATGCCACCTACTGTCTTTTTATCCTGTCCTGCCCTGTGCTATTATGGTAGTACAAAGGAGGTGTGCATTTTAGGGATCGGCAAGGGACATAAATACAAGGCTGAAACACTGCACTTATTTGCAGGAAAGGACAGGAATTATTGATGGACCTATTGTGAGAATGGGCTTATATCATCTGCTGCTGTGTGGTTGTGAATTAATGAGCGCCGCTGCTATAGCAAGTCAGTGGATGTAATCATCTGCAAGACTGTAGTGTTTATTCCTCCACAGTCTGCCGGTGCTGTATTGCAGCCTGCGTTACAGAGCTCTCAAAACAGAGCAATTAAAAACATGGACATGGTTTAATGCAAACAAATGGCAGATGCCCACTGATGTGGAGCGAGATCCACAGCTGGTAGACTCGCGTTCTCCTGACAGCGCTGGTTTTGCTGGGCTGAATCCATTCGGCACATATAGAGAGAGAGCGCTAAGAACCTTCCACTTCCAGGCGGTGTACTCCCAAGAGAAGGTGAAGATGGAGGGCACCATATCCCAGCAGACCAAGCTCATCGACTTCCTCCAGGCTAAAATGGACCAGCCCACAAAGAAGAAGAAGGTAACGAGCTGGGCCGTGACGGGACTTCAGAAGGTCCATCGACATTTGTCTCTGAGGAGTAAACACAGGCGCCTTCAGAATGGCCACGGCGGCTGTGGTAACGCCCGTCTCTCCTCTGCGAACAGGGCATTTTCGGGCGCCGGCGGGAGGACATGGTCGGCGCGGTTGGGGGCGTGCCAGCGAGCGTGTCCCAGGTGCCCATGCCCTATAACGACATGAAGGCGGCGCTGGAGAAGGAGCGCTCGCGGTGTGCCGAGCTGGAGGACGCGCTGCAGAAGATGCGCATCGAGCTGCGCTCCCTGAGGGAGGAGGGTGAGGGGCGGGGCTCTGGGGGCCGCGGGGCTCGGGCTGAATTGCAGGCTGTAAGCGATGGACCGGCATCCCGTCTAGGGTATCCCTGTGCCCTGTGCCTCCTGGGACAGGCTTCAGACAGGTGCCTGCGACCTACTGCAGTGTCTCCCAATACGGTTCTCAGTGACCTATAGCCGGTCCATGTTTTTGCTCCCTGCCAGACAGTCCACATTTTTGCTCCCTCCGAGCTCCCTGCCAGACAGTCCCCACTGCAGTCCTCCCAACTCCCTGTCTGGGTCCCTGAGAACTGGATTGGGAAACACTGCCCTACTGGATGGGTGACAGGAAAATAGATGGAAGAATTTCACTGTGTTCCCTGACTACATGACAATAAAAACGTGAAAGCTTTCATTTTTATACATACCTGTACGTATAGTAGTATTTATATCATTATATAACAAGTAGTTATTACATCAAGTGTAGGTTAGTCTAAGCCCTTCTGTACAAGTAATAAATGCCCAATATAGTAACAGTGTTGCATAAACCTGCTTGCTGAAGCCTAATTGCCTGTCTGCCCCCGTGCAGATTACTGAAATCACCAGATTGATGATCCGTTCAGCATGACTGAGTCACAGGTCCGCAGTCGGCTTAATGCAGTCAATGAGTCGGGCTGTGAGTGGGTGAAGATCTGGGTTTGTGGGACACGCAGTGGGAGCGCGTCACGTGTGCCTCCCGTCGTAGGAGCTGAGTCAGTGCTCAGCCACTCTGCCTGACGCCCAGCCTGCGTGTCCCTGCTTTATACCAGTAAATACCTGTATATCTACTGGGAATTGATTGTCCTCATGAAGCACAACGTGTCCTGTATCAGTGATTTTGTGCCCGAGTTCTGCTTTCTCTTTCATTTTGCTCCCATGTTGACCTTTGACCTCTCTTCTCCAGGAGCCCACTTCAAGGCCATGGAGCACGGGGCCCCTTCCACCCCAGCCACGGCCCGGCAGCAGATCATCATGTCCGCCATCGTCAAGTCGCCAGAGCACCAGCCCAACCCGAGCAGCCTGCTGGCCCCGTCCAGCTCCAGCCGTCGCAAGGAGATCTCCACGCCCGAGGGTGAGGGGGGGCTCGGGGCTCGGGTTCCAGCACGGCCGGCCATTCTGATGCTCTTACCTTGTTTAGCAGTGAACAAAAGCGTACAGCCGATGTTAGCTATTGATTCCTTTGGGTGGGAAGCGTGTCTGACTGTCCCTTCACCTCCATCACAAAGGAGATGTTTCTGTGCTACCTTCTGCCCCAGCTGTCTCTCCTCCCCAACCTCTCTTATTCTGTAGATCACTTATCTCTTGTCTCTCTCACTCTACAGAGAAAAGGAGGGTGACCTTTGAAAGTAAGTTTACGGCCCACCCCCATCTCCCCCCCCCCAAAAGAAAGGCTCCTCAGATAACCAGTCATGCCCT